AAAATAATTCTTAAAAAAAAAAAAAAAAGGAAAGAGCCTATCCTCTACTGTAGCAAGGGGGTAGAGGCTACAGAATCTCAGGTGCTTGCCCTCCCTGCTTTCTAGGTCACATGTTTGCAAGCCCGACCTGGGCTTCCCCTTCAGGTCGACCTATGCCAGATTTTGACTTGTGAGTTACTGACCCCTGCCCCACACAAAACAAAAAAACAACAGCATCTCTAAAGCAAAACTAGTAACAACTAAATCTAGAAGTCATGGCACTTTCTCTTACTTTGGATGAGTCAACTGTAGTGCTTGTTGGAAAGCCAAGTTCCAGGTGCAAAGGCAGTGATGCTGTGGGGGTAGCAATTATGAGCTCAGATTTCCTGACGAGAAGCTTGCAATTATTTGTCTTGCTAGAGGGTACATGTGCTCACCAGAGAAAGGCAGAGAGAGCAAGAGAGAGGTGCAAGCACCCCTCACGGGGAACGGTCACACTGCAACCCCTTCTCCTCCGTCTCTCTCTCCTTCCAAGATGCACACGCATGCGCATGCTCTTGGCGTGTTAGTCAAGTCACCAAGTCTGGGACTCAAACCGTGCAGATGACCATGTGGGTCTGGTTGCCTTAAACACCAGGCCATGGAGCTGGCCCAAGAGCCACCCAATTTTTAAATTAACCTCTCTCACTAAAAAACAAAACAAAACAAAACAAAACAAAAAAACTAGTGAGTCCTCATTAAAGAAAATCTATAAAATACAGAAAAGGGTGTGTGTGTGTGTGCTTCCCACATATGCCTGTGTACACACACACGTAAGATGTAAGGTTTTCATCACAAATTGGTTTCAAACCATATAGTTCTGTGCCTTTTTTTTAAAATAGAGATTTTAGCTATAGGGTGCTTGAGCTTGCTAGAGAGACAGAGACAGAGAGACAGAAAGCACATCACTCACAATAGGGGATGGCCATGCCACAATCCCCTCTCCTCCCTTCTCCTCTTGGGATTTGGGGCATGCATGCGCATGTGCCCAGTGTGTTTGAAGCTGCTGGGTCTAGGACTCGAACTGAGGTCGACTATGTGGGAATCCAGTGATGCAATCATTACACCATCTGCTGGTCCCTGTGCCTGCCCTTTTAAGGTCATTTTCTATGCCTTTCTTAGACAATATAATTCTAAATAACTGCATAATTTAACTGTTTTGCTATTGAATATTTACTCTAATATTTTGTTGCCAAGGACTTCAAAGAATATTCTTTCTTTTAGAGATTTTTGCCTTAGGGCACATGCAGTCACCAGGGAGAGAGAGACACAGTGAGAGGGAAAGTGAGAAATCACTCTGCAGGGGGGGATGGGCCATGCTGCAATCTCTTCTCCTCCATTTTCCTTCTAGGATCTTGGGCATGCACGCACTCGTGCCCAGTGTGATTTTCAAGCCGCTGGTTCTGGGACTCAAACCACAGTTGGCCATGTGGGAGTCCAGTGATGTAACCACTACGCTATCTGCTGGTCCCCAAAGAAAATTCTTGTATATGAAACTTTGACTGTATCTCTATTGCTGTACCTTTCAGGTTACTCAGTGAGATCTGAATCTTTTGTTAACAGCTGTTTTCTCCATTCCTGATAGATCATGTGCACATGCAAGAGAGAGAGAAAGAACGAGAGAGAGGAGCACCTTCCATAGGGTCTGCTCACGCCATGATCCCTTCCTCCTCCAGGTCTTCAGCTTTGGATCTTGGGCACTCATGCACACATATTCCAGGCTGGGGATTTGAACTGATGCTGCCGTGCAGCTTCCAGCACTACATGCTGGTAATGATACTAACTAGGCATGGAAGTGGGTCCTGAAATCTGAACCTTTGAAAGGTCTTTGTACAGTAGTAAAATTGTTCCCAGAGGTGGCCAGTCCCCTCTTGCATCTCTAAAGGGTTTTGATTATGAAGTGTTGACATTAAACTTTATGAAGCTGGAATGACAGACATGAAAACATTTTTTTTTTTTAAATAATGAATATGGTACCTGTTATGAGAGTAAGCCACCTGTCTGACAAAGGTTATGTGCTTTAGAGACATCATCACATTTAATCCTCACCATGACACCTTTTGTTTTTTAAAGAATTATTTTGTTTAACTTTATGGTATTGCATTTATTTATTTTAATTTGAATAGAGAGAGACAGAGCAAGAGATAGAGGGAAAGTGAGAAAGCAAGCCACCAGGTCCGGGACTCAAACTGCAGTTAGTCATGTGGGAGTCCAGCACCCTTAACATCACACCACCTGCTGGCCCCACTTACCATGATACTTTTCATTGGTACTTTCAGCCTCATCAATAAAATGGGCGGTGGAGAGGGGAATGGCCAAATATCTTCCCAGGATCAGCAAGCCACCAGGTCCGGGACTCAAACCGCAGTTAGTCATGTGGGAGTCCAGCACCCTTAACATCACACCACCTGCTGGCCCCACTTACCAGAAGGAAGGAGTGAGCTGGAAGGTAGTGGAGAGAAGATGGAGGAAAAGTTAAAAAGCACAGCAAGTCTTAGTTAAAAGAATTTACACACTGACAAAACAGTGTTAGCGGGGCATTGAACCCATGAGTATTTATTAAAAGCCGTGGGGTGCCAGGCACAGTTGTCCAGGAGGCTAACAAATGCAAATGATGTAACCAATTCACTTATTAGCTTATCAGATGAAACAAAATACATTTCACAGAAATGATTATAAAAGGCATTGTAGACAGAAACAGTATCTTCTATATTTATAGCTCTTATGGTACCCTAAGTGATTATTAATAAAACCCAGCCAACCCATATGGTAAATAAAGTTAGTAAACCACCATTATTTCTTTATTGTAGTCAGCAAAGGAGAAAAACGTATCACTGTTATGCTGAAATGGGTTTCAGTACTCGGTATATTGTTTCAGAACTGCTAACATAGTCCACCTACAACCTTAAAAATCCAGTTTCTCATCCTATACTGAATCATTAGTATACCTTTTGGTTTAAAGATTAGCTTAAGTTTCAGTGTAAGTTTGAGTACTTCAGTCCCGTGCCTCAAATTCCTAACCTGAAGTGGGAAAAGAATCACTCCAATTAAGTACGCGAACAAAACAGAACGAAAAACAGTGGAATAGTTTAAGCCACTTTGCCTTGTATTCTTCCCAAAACTGAACAGAGAAGGTAAAATACACAGGGCATTTAAATCAGAATAACAGCGGGAGAAACAAACAAACAAGATGAACAAATGTAGCTGTTACGTATCTGAAGCCAGCCTGTCCATTCAGAGCCTTGTAGGAGACTCATGAGCCTTTGAAGGACCACGTTGAGTTCCTTGGTGTACGCCACTCCTCTTAGTTTAAAGGCTGGTTGAGACACGTGTGGAAGGGAGAGAAAAGGAGGATGGGAGGGACTGCAGAGACACGGGCGGAGTGTTGCTGACACCAGCACGATCATCCAAGGGCATCCACTAAGCTCCTCCTGAGACCTCTAGAAACGGGTCTGTTTTCTTCAGGCAGCAGCAGCAAAAACTTTCTCAGAGAGTCAAGGTCAACTTTTATTGCACGAGAACCAAAATTATTCCCCTTTCCCCCTTTTCTGAGCTGGAGACCTCCAGATGCAAACACGCCTGGATCCCCAGATGCTGGCGTCTCTGACCAAGCAGGAAGCACTCAACCAGAACGCCGCAGGGAGCACCTTCTTCAAAGGGAAACATGAGGTATTAGGTCTGCCCAAGCCGCGTGGTCGGTCAGTCACCATTCTCAAGCAGTTTTTGTAAGTTGTTTTGTATCTGAAAACAATGAAAGAGAAGTTCCTATTATTATTATTATTACACAGAATCAGAATACTTAAAGGGCATATTTCCTATGGCCTATATAATGCTCAAGATTAACCCAGTCTACCTGGAATAAAAAGCTATTCTTTTTTTAAAAAAATATTTTTACCATAGGGCACAGACGCTCGCTGGAGAGAGACAGAAAGTCAAAGAGAGAGGGAAAGTGAGAAAGCACCCCTCAGGTGGGATGGCCATGCCATAATCTTTTCTCTTTCATTCTCTTCCCAGGATTTTTGGCATGCACGCATGTGTGCCTGGCGTGATTTTCAAGAAGCCAGGTCCAGGAGTCAAACTGCAGAGCTGGCCGTGTGGGATCTAGCGTTTTAACTGCCATGCTACCTGTTGGCCCCAGTAAATGCTTTTCCATGGAGGAGAGCGCTGTTGGATAATCCACTTTAAAATGGAAAAAGATAGTGACAAATTAAAAAGGAAAAATGGTGCACAGATGAGAATGTCAGTAGAGACTGAGAAACACGAGATGAAAGAGAAAAATAGAACTGAGAATAATGAGATGAAGGAAAAAAAAAAACAACCGGCCACATCAGGCTTCATTCAGAGACAATGGGCAACTGATCTCTATAGGACCCATGGTTACTTTTAAATTTAATTTAATTTTTATTGCCAGAGGGTGCGTGTGCCCGCCAGAGAGAGAGCAAACAGAGCATGCACATATTCATGTGCGAATTCCCCGAGTACGGCGTGGTCATGCTGCAGTCCTTTGTCCTCCATTTCTCCATCCTGTCAGGATTTGGGCCCTGCACTGCTGGTGTTTCCCAAGCCACCAGGGCTAGGATACAAATGGCAGTCCCATATGGGAACAGGCTCCAGTGCGCAGCACAGAAGGGCTGGCCCACATTCAATGATTTCAGTCAGACAGTGCCATGTGATAAGGTTCGACTCTCCCATCAGAGTTCTACAGCATTTCCAAGGAAACTGTGAACTTCACAGGGAACAGGAGGAACCCACGCCGTATGTCTGGCTCTCCAGACCGTTGTTCTGCGTTGGGCATTAAAAATGTTCTCAGCAGGACCAGCAGGTGGAGTAACGGTTACCACGCTGAACTCCCATGAGGTTGACTGTGGTTCAAGTCCTGCACCTGGCGGCTTAAAATTCATGCCAGGTATGTGTGTGTGTGTGTGTGTGTGTGTGTGTGTGTGTGTGTCCAAAATCCCAAGAGGAGAATGGAGGAGAAGGGACTGTGCTGTGGCCATCTCTCCTGGGGGATGATTTCTCTGTCTCTCTGTCCATCTGGCAAGTGCAGGCACCCTATAGCAAAAATGTTTCTAAAAAAGAAAAAATGCTCCAAGTAAATGTTTGTTGAATAAATAAATGTTGAATAATTAGAGCAAGGAATTCCCCCAAACCACTGCTGTGGTGGGAAGAGGGGATCCTTCAGATCAAAAGAAAGAATATATCCTACTTTCGGAGGAAGAGTTTATGATGTCTTACAGGTGTACTCCACGTAATCTAGTACATACGTGCCAGGCACTTCCTGCACACTCATCTTCACCCCTCCCCCCCACTCAGAGGCAGGTTTCACACAGGAAATGGGGCCAGTGACACAGGCAGGAAGTGGCAGAGCAGTGACAAGAACAAAGGTTTGACTCCAAAATCTATGCTCTTCCTACTATATATGCTACATTAATGCCATTTCTAGGAATAAGAAGGAAGAAAATTATTTACATTAAAAAATATATATTTTTTGTCAGAGGGTGTGTGTGCTCACCAGAAAGAGGGAGAGAGAGAGGCAGAAAGCAACCCTCGTCAGAGCAGAATCACGCTGTGATCCCTCTCCTTCACTTCATCCCGTTGGGATTTGGGCATGTATGCACATGCATGTGCCTGGTATGTTTTTCAAGCTGTCAGGGCAGGATTTGAACCACACGGTTGGCCACGTGGGATCTAGCTCCCTTAGCCACTAGGCCATGGAATTGATGTGCCTTCTTGCCTCACATTCCTACTTCCTGTTTTCCCCATCTCTCCCTCAGGACCAAGGATCAATGGAAAAACATGAGACCACAGAGAAAGAAATGAAACAAAGGGCTGCTTCACAAAAGCACACAGGCACACCTACAAAACAAAATGCCTACAAGTAAGACAGAGGGCGTCAACAGGCAACTTACACAAGAGAATCCTAATGGCCAACGCCAGCAGTAATTAGGAAAATACAAATGAAAGCCATGAGGTCCAAGTTCCCACTCTCAGACTGGTAGTAGGGGGCCTGGCTGGACAAGGCTGGAGCCGACGGAGAGGGAATTTGAGAAAGCTTTTTCTTTTTTTAAATTTTAGTTTTTTGCTAACGGGCATGTGTGCTTACCAGAGAGAGACAGAGAGACACAGAGAGAGATAAAAAGGGAGACATCCCCCCTCACCCCGGAGAGATGGCCACATCACAATCCCTTCTCCTCTACTCTCTTAGAATTTTGGGCACGTTCGCACACCTGCCTGGCAGAATCTTCAAGCTACAGGTCTGGGACTCCAATCACACAGCTGGCCATGGGGCATCCAGTCACCTTAACCTCCACGCCCCCAGCTGGCTCTGAGGAGACACTTGAAGAGAGACTTCATAGAATTTGCCAACTCACTAGTCAGTCAGTGGCAAGTGAAGAGAAAGGCGCTAAAAATGACTCTTAAGAGTTCCAACAAGGATGACTGAAAAGGCAGGGCAGCATCCGGAGAAGCTGGGAAGTTAGAAGCAGGGAAAGATCGGGAGGCGTGGATGGGAGCAGTTCTGGAGGAGAGGGGGTAGAAATGGGAGTGTGATGGTCCAAGCCAGGGCTCAGGCTTTTCCCAGCAAGTCGCCGCCATTTCCCACAAGCTGTGCTCTGTTACTGGCCAATTAAAGAGAACACGGGTGTAGCCGTAGCTTTTTCTTCTTCCCCTTGGGGATGGAGATTACACACACACACACACACACACACACACACACACACACATGCTTTAAATAAGTGGTAATTCTTTTTTACTACTTAGATTCCTTTGAACAATGTACGCAATGTACAACTTCTCAGAATGTCACTATGTGCATTTTGACCCCACATCCGCTTCCCACCCATTCTGCTCGGGGACAAAGGTGATCTCTAGTGGGTGTTACCATAGGCTTCCCCGGCCTCCCAGCGGGGCTTTGTCTGAAGCCCTGCCTGAGACTCAGCCCGTTGTTGGCCTGCTGTGAACAAGCCCGTCCGTGTTCTGTTTCTTTATTAGAGAATGTGGTGTCCTGGCCAGGCCTGACAGGAGAGTGGAAAGAAATACAAAAAAAGCAGCGGGATTCCATGCATGTCTGACCCAAAGAATATACTTTGTATGTCAGAAAGAACAAAATTGAAAATGAATACCCCCCTACTCTCTACGTCAGCACGACAGCCAAATGTTTGTTAGCATTTCATTAAATAAATAAATATAGTTTATCGTCAATTCTAACGTTTTAGAAAGGAAAAAAATTCTGGTAGCTAACCCATATCTTCTCCAGGCTGATTTTCAGATTTAAAAGAGAAAATGTTCCCATGTTTGACCATAGATGCAATCATTCAAATATGAACTAAACATCCTGACTTGATTTAGAACAGACATTTGGAAACTCTTTCGCTTTCAATGTGTTAGTTGTTAACTGCTGGATCACATTTAGTGAGGAAAATGAAGATAATTTTATACATTTATACTTCATGCCTTACAATTAGTTATCGAAAGGAAGGGATAAGATATTGAAAAGAGAGAAAGACAAGACATGTTAGTAAGGACTAACTTCTGGGGTATTTCTGGCATGCCTGCTTCCTCTCCTTATTGACCTTCCTACTGACTTCTAAGAGTAGCTAAAAGCAGATCACCCTGGAGTCGCCCTGTGGGAGGAGACTTAGCGAGGCAGAGATCTAGTGGTGTCCTTAGCAGTGAGGCCTATGGGTTGGGCTCAAAGACACAGGAGGGCAGAGGACTTCTAAGCCCAACTTTGCAGAAAGACAGATCTGGTTTAAACTCCAGATCTGCCAACTCTCTACATATGTCACCTTGAGCAAGTCCCTCTGGAAATTGTTATCCTCTCTCTCTCTCTCTCTCTTTTTCTAAAAGAGCTTTTGATCTTAGGGCCTGTGTGCTCACTGGGGAGAGGGAGAGAGACAGACACGGTAAGAGGGAAAGTGAGAAATCACCTCCCAGGGGAGAGGGCCATGCTGCAAGCCCTTCTCCTCCATTCTCCTCCCAGGACCTTGGGCACACATGCACATGCTCCTGGTGTGAGTTTCAGGCCACCGGGTCTGGGATTTGAACCGTGGTCACCCATGTGGGAATCCAGCAGTGTAACCATGATGCCATCTGCTGGTCTCAAAATTCTGTTATCCTTAACAGCACTCCAAGACTCTGGCCAGGAACAGGTAAGGAATTTACAAGGTGCTTTTCACATTCATCTTCCTTTCTTCTACCCTTCCAGGACAAATATCCTAAGGTAGGCAACATAAATACTCCCATTTTATAGCTGGGGAAACCTAAGCACAGACAAGGTAAGGGGCTTTGCCCACAGTCACACAACCAATGAGCAAGGGGCCGGGGTTCTGCCTCCAAATCCCGTCCAACACGGTGACTTTCCTGGAGGGCAGGTAGAGTGAGGCGCTGCCTGCAGGGAAGGCGGAGGCAAGGGGCACCCAGAAGTACCCCAAAGGTTGAGGAAACCCGTCACAGCTAAGAATCAGTGGGAGAAAGACAGGAAGTGGGAAAAAGATCATGTGAAAGCCTCAGTTCTTCCATTAATTTTTGCCACCACCCTAATTAGTAGGTATAATTTAAAAGAAGAGAAGAAATGGATTCTTCTTCTATATAAGCGAGGAACAAAGACCCCCCCTCCCAGGGTTGTAATACGGACTGAACCCAACATGGTCACATGGTAACAATCACCCTGGGTACAGCCGGACTGCGTTCCCTGGTGGGGCCCCAGGCCTCCCGTTCTCGCCCGTGTGTCCTACACTGAGCCCTGGTGTCAGCAGTCCCTTACCACCGGGACCTGCGGTACACAGAGGTATCTTCCCAAGGGAGAAAAATAAAAGACCAAGGAAAATGAAGGGAAAGCCTATCTCTTTGTGAAAATGAAACATTTTCTTCTGCATTTACTATGCCAAGCCCCCTGACCCCGACCGGGTAACCTTCAGCGCGTGGCATCTGCCGGCACTACCCACGGTCCCGTACACAGGCAAGGCACAGGTCACCTTTTCTAGTTTCACGATGTTAGCTGTAAGCTCTTGGCACAGGACTTCCACATTTAACTGGACTTGCGACCCCAGGCCGGATGGTGCCGTCTGTCTGTGAGAACAAAGGACAAAGTTACTGCGGGCAGGGACGGCAAAGGAAGAAGTGGGATGCACGCAGCTGAAATGGACTTGAGCAGAAAGTGGGTTCTAAGGGAAGGGAGGAGCATTTCATCAGAAAGGCCTGGCAGTAATCCACACTCTAGGCTAGAGGTTTGGGAGACTCACTCGTAAAAGCTCAGCTGGAAATCTCTCACGCTATTTTTTTAAGTGGATGTCTTGGCCCTCAGCTTCCAAACAAAAATCAGACAATTATTCTCAAGGGCATAGTTTCTTAGACCCCTTATTAACACTTATGTCCTCTCTATCACTAACACAGCACACATTTGCAACAATTATTTTATCTTGGGGACCAGCAGGTGGCGTAGTGATTAAGGTGCTGGACACTCCCACATGGCCAACCATGGTTCAAGTCCAGACCTGGTGGCTTGCTTTCTCACTTCCTCACTTTCTCTCTCTCTTTCTCTCTGTGTGTATCTCTCCCTGGTCAAATTAAAATAAATGAATGAATAAATAAAACTAAATAAAATTAAATAAATCATTCTTTAAAAAAAGAATTATTTTTTTTCTCTCTCATATGCTTTGTTTCTTTTTTTAATTTTGCTATAGGGTATATGCATTTGCCAGAGACAGAGAGAGAAAAAGAGAGAGAGAGAGAGAGAGTGAGAAATCACCCCTTGGGGGGATGGCCATGCTGCAATCCCTTCTCCTCTTGGTAGTGTAAGTTGGCACACATACGTGCCATAAGCAGCTAGCTTGTTTTTCAAGCTGCCAGGTCTAGGACTCAAACCATGCAGGTGGGGTCCAGATATCTCAGCCTCCACATCACACCCTCCTGCTGGCCCCTCACATACATATTTTTTACTGGGAGAATTTACGCTAGACTGTTCAGGAAGGTTAGGAAGGTCTATCCAGACATCTTTATCTAAACTTTCACTGAAGTATGAGATTTCTGTAACTTCTACTTTGTTACCTGTCAGACAAATATAACTGCCCTTGTGCTCTACTCTACCAGATGTATTCGATACTGACCGTCTAACTTTGTGGCATGGGCTCTTACTCTGGGGTCCACTGGGGTCCTGTACCAGCTCACGCTGTAGGAAAGTCCAGGATGTAGCTCCTGGAGACGGTCTACAGCTGTTTATCGAGATTTTCATGTTGAGGGTGAGAACCACAGTCTGTACCGTCTCTATATTTCTTGGCTGCACAGTAATTTTCCCTGTGAGGTTTTTGGACAGCAGTGACTGGTCAAACTTATTTTGTATATGGTCCATTTTTGAGAGATAGACACTTGGAAAATTATTGATGGTAATCTATTAGGTTGTCAGAAAAGTCATGATGTATTTTTCCTATGTAAAAAATGTCATGACTTTTCCAGCAACCCAATAAATCTTAAGAAAGCAACAGAAGTCTTTCTTTTTTTAGAGAGATTTTTGCTATAGGATGTGTGCACTCACCAGAGTCAGAGAGACAGAAAGTGAGAAATCCTCTCCCCCAGGGGTGATGGCCACACCACAATCCCTTTTCCTCCATTCTCCTCTTGGGATTTTGGGCATGCATGCACTCGCACCCGGTATGAGTTTCAAGTTGGCAGGTCCTGGACTCAGACTATGGTCGGCCATGTGTGATTCCAGCAACATAACCATTATGTCATCTGTCAGTCCCTGGAACTGTTTTCTTAAGAGTCTTTCTCATTATGGGTGCTCCCTGACCTCAGATCATATGTGATCTCTGTGATTTTTCCTTTAAGTAGTTATTTTTCAGATGGTACTTTCTCCTGGGTTGATCTTTTCAATAGAAGAAGAAATATATCATTTGCTTTCTGTTAGAGGAATTTTCTCCTCATCCTCACTAAGTTAATGAAACGATAACAGGACGTGAAGTATACTTTCCTAATAAAATTAAGTCCATATATGATAGTGAATTCATAGTCTGCAATAATCTAGAGCCACCTCTTACCTTGAAATGTACTGACATTTTGCATAAGATGGGAGACAGAGAGAAATGTGAGGTATGAATTTATTTGGCTTCTATATTTTATTGATTCAAATGCATATTTATGGCTCAAAAATAATCTGTATACTAGGTACATGTAATCCCCAGAATAAGATCTGCAGGTAAGTCTTACTGAGAGCAGAGGGGTCCTAGAATGGTAGAACCCTGCAGTTCTCCAAGGAGGGAATCCAGACCAGCACCATATGCATCACCTGGGAAACTGCTAGAAATGTGGACTCTGAGGCTCCATCCCAGACCTTTTTAATAGGATGTGGTGTGCTCACCAGAGAGAGACAAAAAGCAAGAAATCACTCCTCAGTGGGGATAGACATGTTGCAATTCCTTCTTCTCCACTCTCCCTCCAGGATCTTGGGCACACACACACATGCCCGGTGTGAGTTCTAAGCCTCTGGGTCTGGGACTCAAACCATGGACAACTATGTGGGAGTTCAGCAACGTAAACATTACACCATCTGCTGGTTCCCATCTCAGACCTTTTGCATTAGAAACATTGGGGATGGGCCCTGTACTCTGTTTTAACAAGCTCTCTAGAGAGTTCTGATGCCCACCAAAGTTTGAGAGCCACTAGCAGACTGAGAAGTCCACCGTCTTCCAGTTACATCGACCTGCATTTGAATCCGGAGTCTATTACAAACTGTGACATTAAGCTTGTTATTTCTCTGGGTCTTAGTTTCTTTTCTTTTCTAGTTTACCTTAGGGCATGTGCACTCAATTGGAGAGAGAGAGAGGGAAAATAAGAAGTCACTCCTGAGGAAGTATGGTCATCCCACAATTCCTTTTCTTGCCTCCATTCTCCTTTTGGGGTTTTGGGTACACACACACACACACACACACACACACGTGCCTGAAGTGTGTTTGAAGTTACCGGATCTGGGACTTGAACCACACAGTTGGCCATATGGCGCCCAGTCACCTTAACCACCATGCCACCTACTGGCCCTAAGTCTCAGTTTTCTTATCCGTAAAGTGGGAATAACTGCTATCTTATGAGGCGAGACAACGCATTTGTATGTATCCACTCTAATAGTGTCTCTAGCACATGGTAGATGCTCCATAAAGTATTACCTCTACTTTTAAACTTGGGATGCTGTTGAACATTAAATCATGTGTTTTACTTTTTAGGCCACGTGTCAAAATCTTCATGTAACTGAGTCTAAAGGAAAGAACTCTATGCGCAGATTTAATTAGTCAGGTCTGTTAAAAATGACTAATGAATCTTCCCAGACACATTCATCTTCTGTGTCACATGAATGTTTACAGCAGTCAAGAGTTTTGTAAATAAATGTTAATATAAAGGGTTACACGTGGTGGAAAGTGCTGAGTTACTTCAAGTGCTTCTTTTCAAGGAACATCTTGACTTGCCGCCATTTTATTAGGATGACGTTGTACAGTTTAGAAAAACGGGCCAAGGTAACAACAGCATCTTAAGGTCAAAGAGTAAGATCCTGTAACATTTAGCTTGTTTCTCGCCATATTACTGACAGCACTGCAGCAGCTCAAGAACAGGCTCAGGTCACTCATTTCTAGGACCCTCCTGCCTCTTTCCTTTCCACAACACACTTAACAGAATGTCTCAGACAGAATGTATCCCCAACTGGGACCAGCAGTTGGCGTAATGGCTATGTCGCTGGACTCCTATGTAGTCGACTGCAGTTCAAGTCCTGGACCCAGTGGCTTAAACTCATGCCGGGCGCGTGTGCATGTATGTCCAAGATCCCGAGAGGACAATGGAGAAGGGATTATGGCGTGGCCATCTCCCCTGGGGGGTGATTTCTCGTTTTCTGTCTCTCTGTCTTTCTGGCGAGCACATGTGTCCTATAGCAAAAAAAAAAAAAAGTATCCCCAACTAATGTTTGCTAAGAAGAATGCTAAGCTCAAGCCAATTGGTATACTAATCTAGACAGCGAGCAAGCGATAGCACCGGAGGGAATTGTCTTACTCAGTATTATGGGAGTCCACCGCAGAGGTCAGGGAGCCCAGCCGCTCCTCCAGAGAATTGATTCTGTATCTCATGTAGAAGGTTGAGATGATTAGAGCACAGACACTGGAAAGGGAATGGGAGAACACTGAAATTTGCAACAGGTCCATGGACAGAACTTAATGTTCATAAAAAAATAAACTCAGCACCAATGTACACAAGGCAAGGCGTTCTCCAAAATAATTTGTCTAAAGAGACTTTAAAAAGGTCTTTTAAATAGGTGATGCTTGCCACAAAACTTTAAAGCTAGAAGACTTAAAATCTCAAGACCATGTCCCTCGATCTGTGAATAATGACTATTCTTTTTTAAAAACGGAATTATTTATTTTATTTTAATTGTTATTATTATTTAAATTTGGCCAAAGAGAGACAGAGAGAAAGAAAGGGAAAGTAAGAAAGCAAGATGCCAGGTCTGGGACTAGAACCACAGTTCTAGCCATATGGGTGTCTAGCACCTTAACCACCCTGCCACCTGCTGGGCTCAATTGCTCAAGGCCAGCCCCAAGTTGGATTACCAAACCAGTGCTCGGTCTCCCTTCTGGTACTGTCTCTGTGTTAGAAGAGCCTGGACAGAGAGTGCCCAGCTTGTTGCACACACTTCCTGCTTTCTCTGGAAACCACTGTTCATATCCTCCGTGGTCATGAAGAACAGCCTAGAACTGGGGCAAGCTATTTTCAGAACAACAGGTTACAGACTGGAAGCTGATGCAGAAGTTAAAAAAGTCAATGCCTATGCTTTAAATTAAGGCAATGACACCTTGTTTTGGCCTCAGTGCAGGACACGGGACAGAGGGAAAAATAGATAACAAGGAAGAAGATGCTTTGTAATTCACAGAACAACTTCCCAACTAACAGCATCCACCTGGAACTTAGTCCTATTTTGGATATGGCACAATCATTATGAACATGGAACCTAAGCCTAAGAGAAAATAGTGTTGATGCAGGAGATAGAAATTGTCAAACAATATGTGTCCCACAACCAACAATTGAGATTTATAATGACTCTTGGCAATAGGAAGATATTACTCCTTTAGAGAACTGAATCGCTGTCGAAGTCACTCATAGTAAATTCATTCACTCACACAATCGCGTAGAATATAAGAATGTGGTGGAGAGTCGGGCACTTCTGAGACTTGACTTTAGGTGAGGGTCCAGTGGTTTCTGACTGACCTGTTTGGTAGAAAACAGAAATCAACTGTTTAAAACCATAGCACACTCCCTTCCTACAGTAATCTCCCTATAGGGAAAAGACACCTGGCAGAACTCATTATTCCTAGGTCAAAGAAATCAGGGATAAAATTCACTGAAGCCTTCCAGCGTTGTTGTTATCTTTTTCTATTATAGGGTGCATGCACTCCCTAGAGAGAGACTGAGAGGGAAAGTGAGAGATCACTCCCCAGGAGGGATGGCCACACCGCAATCCCTTCCCTTCCATTTTCCTTAGCATTTTGGACGCACACGCACGTGCACCCAGTATGATTTTCAAGTCACAGGGTCTGGGAATTGAACTGAGCAGTCAGCCGTGTGGGAATCCAGTGCCTTAACCACCACAGCACCTGCTGGCCTCTCCAGTTGTCATTTTAACCGGCGGTTGTAATCCCTTCCTTCCAACACATGTAATACGTATTTATTGGGAGCTTTCTTTGTGCCAAGCACTGCGTTGGAGTCCATGATGAACAGTGAACCATCACCCTGGCTCTCATGCCAGTAGAACTGGGTTCAGTTACTAAAACCATTACTAAGAAATACTTCAACACGTGGTGTTCTTCCAGCAATTTCTGAACCATCATCTCACCTACTTGGGATTATAAAGGGACCTCTATAAAGGCAATTCACCTTTGCATCCCCATTGTAACTAGATACTGTTTGTGAAATAGATAAGGAAATTAATATTAAAAAAATATAAAATGGAAAGGGAAGGGAGAGAATATGAAAGAGAGTTATACAGTGAAACACGGGGACTTACTAAAAATTACAGAGGGCTGGCCCTGTGGCCTAGTGGTTAAGGGAACCAGATCCCACATGGCCAATTATGTGGTGTGAGTTCCAGCCTAGTGGCTTGAAAAACATGTCAGGTGCATGTGCACGCATGCCCCAAACCCTGACCAGATGAGAGAAGGAGAAAGGACAGGGGTGTGACCGTGCCCACAGGAGGATGTTTTCTCCCTCTCTCTTCTCTGTCAAGCACATACACCTTTTAACAACAACAAAAATGTTACAAACAGAAATCCCCTCCACCTTGCCTCACAAAGAAAAAAAGATCTATTCCTTACCATGCAAAGAGAGGGTCTTGGCTTTTCCATCAGGCACTCTGTTCACATGTGCATCTGCACGAGCTGGTTTTGTTTCCCCCTTAGAGACATTCAGAACTGTCTGGGATTCTGTCACATGGAAATCTACCAAGCCCAAACAGAGCTGGGTAAGTTCCTTCTTCAATGCATTTAAAAACATAGGCTAGGGACCAGTAGGTGGTATAGTGCTTAAGGCACTGGACTCCCACATGGCTGACTGCAGTTTGAGTCCTGGACCCAGAGGCTTGAAACTCACATTGGGTGCATGTGCATGTGTGCCCAAGATCCCAAGAGGAGAATGGAGGAGAAGGGATTGCGGTGTGGCCATCCCTCCTGGGGAGTGATTTCTCACTTTCTGTCTCTCTGTCTCTCCAGTAAACACATGCACCCTGAAGCAAAAATCTCTCAAAACATAAATAAATAAGAAATAAGTAAAAACATGGACTAAACCACACAGCAATCAGTCCCTTAACAGGCACAGGGGTCAAGCGGATCTTCCCGTCAGCTGGCTGTGGTGATAGGGGACTACTATCGAGCGCTTTGGCAAATAAATAATAAAGTGACAGGACAGTCCTTTGTCTCCCACCAAGTCACAGGACGATTCGGATGCAACAAATAAGACTGTCACCGAAACGAGAGGCAAGAAACACCGTGTTTCTCTCTCTACCACTCCAACACTGTCTGTTTAAGAGACATCATTTAAGCGTGCATTAAAACAAATGGGTTTTTACCACACGGGCAACGCCCTTTCCTTGAACTTCTAAGCTATTCTTTCTCCAGATTCTCTTCTCAATAGAGAACTAGGAAGACAAAGTAGGGTGTTTTATTTTGTTTTTTTACTTTTTTTTTTTTTAAAGAGGGTGAGGTGAGGACATCATTATGAATAAAATTTTAGTCAAACTGTAATGGTTTTCCAGACCTCGCGAGTTCTCAGATTCAGGAGTCTGAGAACCAGAACTGCTGTATCCTTCCATGTCTTCCCTTCTTTGTCGAACCACTCCATCCAGATCTGAGAATTCATCATTGAAGTCCTGCCGAGAAACAATGAAAGGAAGAGATTCCAAATTTCCTCATTAGACAGGAAGGCCTTTGTAAACTCAGGCCTGTTCACTCAGGCCTGACCTATAAAATACAGACAAGGAGGAAGGATTACCCCATTACGGCTGGGATTGTCCCAACAGCTCACTGAGTATCTGGTTACAGAAACTGAGATTTTTCTGGGCAGTTAGACTTCTGTCAACAAATAGTGGCCAACTTGTTTGAAACACCAGAGGTTTAGAAAAAGAGCCAGAATGCTGACGATTGAAAAGTGTCCAGTATGAAGCTAGAGAAGTCTAATGAGCACTTCGTAACAGGAAAAACTGTCTGCTACAGACATATTCAAGGGGGAAAAATGGGACAGAAAGTTCTAACTCCAAGTGCAAATAGATAGACAGAGATGGGGACAACTAAATTATAGTTTAATAAACGAGTGAGAGACAGAAAAGAGGAAATGGCTTTAGTACATTAGATCCTGAAAAGAAAGTTTCAGCTTGTTTTTCTTTCCTCAACTAAATCAAAAGAGAGTCGTTGACATTACATTTAAATTATAGAAAGATGATGAAGGAGTAAGGTGAAAAGCAGAGAGGTTTAATTTGACATTCCATTGGTTCTCCAAAAGGGCTTAAGAACAGAAGAGACAAATAGTGTCAATAAAATGTTCCAGTGAAGGTAAAGTTAGTCTGAAGGTTTTATTTATTTATTTATTGATTGATTGATTTTTTTGCCATAGGGCACATGTGCTTTCTGGAGAGAGACAGAGGAGGAAAGTAAGAAATCACCCGTGGCGGGGGGGGGGGGTTGGGGATGGCCATGCCACAATCTCTTCTCCATTCTCCTCTCAGGAGTTCAGCATGCATGCACATGCGCTCACGTGATTTTTCAAGCTACTCGGTCTAGGACTTGGACCTTGTCAGCCATGTGGAAGTCCAACACCTTAACCACCTCATCACCTGCTGGCCTCTATCTAGTTAACTTCAACAAGTTAACTGTTTTTTTCTTTAGAGAGGTTTTTGGTATCAGGCGTGCACGCTTTCCAGAGAGACAGAGAGACAGAGAAAGTGAGAAATCACCCCCCAGGGGGGATAGCCACACCGCAATCCCTTCTCCTCCATTCTCCTCTCGTGCTCATGGGCACGCACGTGCAGGCGTCTGGCGTGAATTTAAGCCACCGGGTCCGGAACTCGAACCGCGGTCGACTACATAGGAGTTCGGCGACAGCCATTACACTAACTGCTGGTCCCAACAATTTAACTTTTTAACAATTTCACCTTGAACTAGCTGCCTTTTGGCCATCCAATACACACTTTCCATTTCATGCAAGAATTTATGACAGAAGAAAACTGGAAAAACTCAAACTCTTTAGTTTAATATTGATTTATTGAATGCTTATCCCATATCAGACAGTATGCAAAGCTCCTCACAAACATGATGACTTTGATCTTCACGGCCACATCACAAGGTTGGCATTATAATGAAGAAACGGATTCAGAGCAGTTTAGGAGCTTGAAATGACACAGCTGGGTGGAGCTTACATGTGAAACCAGGTCTGTTGGATTCTGAGTACGTGTGTGAGATCGTATTCTGCACTACTTCTCACTATTTTTTTTTTTTTTTAAAGACAGGGTCTCACCGCTGTGGTCCTTCTGTTTCAGCTGTGACTGCAGACATGGGCCACTGTGCCCTGACCTTTCGTTGGACTGTAATAGAACCTAGGCCTCCTATGTGGTCTCAGGTTACAGGGCACGGTGTTTCAATAACATGCACCACCAGGGCTGGGCCCCACTACTCTTTATTTTTTCTTACAAACTATTTTTGCTATAGGGTGCTTGCATTAGACAGAGAGAGAGAGAGGAAGGGAAAAAGAGAGAGAGAGAGAGAGTGAGAAGTCACTCCCCAGAAGGAAGGCCACAATGCAATCCCTTCTCCTCCATTCTCCTCTTGGGTTTTGGGCACATAAGCACCTGCACCTGGGCATGAGTTTCAAGCCTCCAGGTCTGGGACTCGAACCACAGTTACACTAACCACATATAGGGGACCCAGTAACAGGTTACAATAACTGATGGAGTACCAAAACAGATAAGCAGCTGGGGCTATGTTGAACTGTGGAGCCCAGTGCCTTAACCACTACACCGCCGGCTGGCCCCACCCCCACTACTCTTTAAAGTAAGAGTTTTCTAAAAAGTTGAGATAAAATTCATATAACATAAAATTCACCATTTTAAAGTGTACATTGAGTGAATTTCAGGACATTGACAACACTGTATAACCATCACCGCTATCTTATTCCAGGGCATTTCCCTCATTCCGAAGAGAATCAGTGTACTCATTAGCAGCCTTCCTTACTCCACTCCTTGGCAACCACTAATTCACTCTGCATTCTTACGGATTCGTCTGTTTGGGACATTTTATATAAACAGAATTATGTAATACGTAGCCTGGCATAGGGCATTTTTTTAGTTAGCGTAATGTGTTCAGAGTTCATCCACGTCATAGCATGTATCAGTACTTCTTTTTTATAGACAAATAATATTCCATTGTACAATATGCCACAATAAAAAATCTATTCATCAGTTGATGGGCATTTTGGACATTACATCCCCCCCTCCCCTACTTTTTGGCTAGTATGAATAATGTTGCTATGAACATTCCTTTTTTAAAAAATAAATGCATATTTAACTTTATTTGTTATTATTATTTTTTAACTTGACCAGAGAGAGAGAGAGAGACAGAGAGAGAAAAGGAAAGTGAGAAAGCAAGCTGCCAGGTCCAGGACTCACACTGTGGTCAGTCATATGAGAGTCCAGCATCCCCAAAGCACCATACCACCTGCCAGTCAACCCTCCCCCCTTTTTAAAAAGCTTTTTCTCATAAGGTACATGCACTTGTCAAAGAGAGACAGAGTGAGGATAAGGGAGAAATCAACGCCCCCTCCCCACGGGGATGGTCATACCACAATCCCTTCTACTCCTTTCTTTCCCTGGGATTTTGGGCATGTGTGCACACACACCCAGTGTGATTTTCAAGTTGCCAGGTCTGGGACTGAAATAGTGATCGATCATGTGGGAGTCCAGCGCCTTACCCATGATACCACCTGCTGGCCCCCCTATGAAATTCTTGCACAAGTCTTTGTACGAAAATATTTTCAACCCCAGTATTTTTTTTAAAGAATTATTTTATTTAACTTTACTTATTTATTTATTTAAATTTGACCAGAGAGGGACAGAGAGAGAGGGCGAAAGTGAGAAAGTAAGCCACTAGGTCCGGGACTCGAACTGCAGTCAGCCACGTGGGAGTCCAGTGCCCTTAACCACCATGCCACTTGCCAGTTCCCAACCCCAGTGCTTTTGACAGCTCTTCAAAAAGATCTGTTGGACATGCTGAAACTATGGGATCTTACTGCTTTGCTAAGGGTGAGTACTTAATAATCAATTTGAGAGTAAGTATTGGGTGACAGGTTAGGGCTGTGTTGGGGAAGCATCATACCTTCATAGGTACAAGTCTTGAACAAACATGGCAGCTCCGTCCCCCTGGGGATTCACTGTACACTCACATTCACCAAAGTCTGAGGGACTCATGTGGTCTCCGCCTATTACTTGTGCATTATAGTTGCCTCTTTTCATAGTTTTTTTTTTTTTTTTTTCCCAGAGAGATTTTTGCTATAGGGCATGTGTGCTTGTCAGAGAGACAGAGACAGAAAGTAAGAAATCGCCCTCTAGGGGGAAGGCCATGCTACAATCCCTTCTCCTCTATCCTCTTCTTGGGATTTTGGGCATGTATGCACACACACCCGACATGAGTTTTAAGCTCTGAGTCCAGGACTCAAGCCACAGCCGACTACATGGGAGTCCAGTGATATAACCATTATGCCATCTGCTAGTCCCATTCAGTTAATTTTGAGTATGCCCTATCTTCTCAACTCATGGCCTACCTCAAATAGATTTGTAAGTCCCTCTGCAACAATACCGACAAGGGGAACAGGACTATACATATATTCATTGACCAGTAACTCATTGAGATATCCTACTGTTATGTTTCTTTTCTTTTGTGGGACAACCCTTCAACTACTTGAACAATGTTTATGGCCTCCTATGGTTCCTCCTCTGCAGGATAGGTTTGCCCTGCTTCCTTGACTGTGCCTGAAATATTCTGGTCTTGTGGGCTTCCCATAGTCTAACCACAGTGTAAGCACAAGGGTTGCTGTGGGACTTGACAGTCACGCAGGCAACTTACCAGAGGCAGAGATGAAGGGCGGTCTGCCCGGAAACTGTTTTCAGCAGAAGATGGATTGGGACTGTTACCAACACTTGTGTTCTGAAATGATTGGAAAGAAATGAAAAACCAGATCAACAATGAAACCATGAGAAACACAGAAGAGAGACCGTGATGGAAGCACAGAGACGTATACTCACATCTAAGTGTCCACACACAGATTTGAGTAGTTTGTAAGTTGAATCTCTGGAGAGTAAGGAGACAAAAATGTACTAAAAAAGAAAACAGAATAATTATAATTGTCTTGCCTGACAAGCAGCAAGAGTTCAGGCTTCAAAAAGTATTTGTATATCGTTTCTTCGTTTTCAAGTGATGTCGACCATTCTCTGGCCTACAATCTCATTCCCCTCACCCAAACAGTCATTTTTCATTCCATTCCTGGAATAAAGCAAATGTATTTCCCACGACAGCAACCAAATCCCCAAACCCAATTTAAGAGCAATAAACACAGGGCAAAATGAAGGCTCTAAAAAGTCTGACTTGGGTGCCCCAAATAAGCTGGAAAAAAAAGGCCAGTACATTTAAAAAGGGGAGTGATGTTTGTTAGAACCTCTTTAAAGTCCTTCCTCCTGTTTTCGTTTTTTGTTTGTAAAGGTATTTAACAATCCCCAAGGGTCTGCTTTCTTTGCTTTGACCTAGATTCCCACTGAAAACTTCCCAGCAGTGCTAACAGGCAAGTTCTTTTTCATACCACTTCCAGATTCGTCCTTGCACAAATAAGGAGATTTCCTAGTGGAGGCTTATAAACGAGCTATGGGAAAAGAGTACAATTTGGCTCAACAAGTCATCTGGAGACAAGTGACGTAAGGAGAAATGATCTTACCACAAATAATACATTCAGGAAATAGAAACGCTCACTCTTTCTCTGGTTAATAAACCACTGAGTCTTTTCAGATGCTCCTTCCCTGAGTTTGTAATTATCCCTCTCATTCAGCTGTGATGGAACTTGGTGTCATTTCCAACTCTGTTGCCTCAGTAGGCAACTTTGTGGGTTCTGGCATTTGACGACCCAGTTGCAAATTTTGGCTAACATTTACTACGTGGGTGATATTTAAACACTGCTTACCCCCACTTACTTGCAGTTTTCTTAACCATCCCTGTCTAGGGTGGTAGTGTAGAATAAGTGAGAAAATATAAGAAAAACACTTAGCATGTGCCTGGCAAGATAGTAGGGACTTGTATTAAAAAGATCCCTAAATACGTATTTTCTAACTTATTGGAATAACCTTTTGCTTCCCCTTCTCTTTCTTCTCTCTCTCTCTCTCTCTTTTTTTTTTGAGAGGTTTTTTTGCAATAGGGCGTGCGTGCTTGCCAGACAGACAGAGAGAGACATAGAGACAGAAAGCGAGAAATCATCCTCGCAGTGGCCCGGCTCAGTGGCACGTCAGTGGAGGGATGCACCCTGGAGGGTGATTTCTCACTTCCCTCTCTCTCCAGTAAGCACACACAGGCCCTATGGCAAAAACCTTTAAAAAAAAAATAAAGATGCACTACCCTGATGAAAATAGTCAGGTAGATGTCTCCAAGTGTCTTTACTAGGCCCCATGTGATGTTTCTGTAGGAAATGTATCTTCAATTCAATTTTGAATACTATTAAAATTAATTTGCATTTCGGGGCTAGCAGGTGGCATGGTGGTTAAGGTGCTAGACTCCCACATGGCTGACTGTGGTTAGAGTCCTGGACCTGGTGGTTTGCTTTTTCACTTTTCCTCTCTTTCTCTCAGTCTCTATCCCTCTTTTTCTCTGTCAAGTGCATGTGCCTTGTAGCAAATTAAACAAATAACAATAATGATAAACAAAATGAAATAATTCTTAAAAAAAAAAGATTAAAAAATAATTTCAAGTGAAAAATGAGTAACCAAACCACTAATTGTCTTGCCTGACAAGCAGCAAGAGTTCAGGCTTCAAAAAGTATTTGTATATCGTTTCTTCGTTTTCAAGTGATGTCGACCATTCTCTGGCCTACAATCTCATTCCCCTCACCCAAACAGTCATTTTTCATTCCATTCCTGGAATAAAGCAAATGTATTTCCCACGACAGCAACCAAATCCCCAAACCCAATTTAAGAGCAATAAACACAGGGCAAAATGAAGGCTCTAAAAAGTCTGACTTGGGTGCCCCAAATAAGCTGGAAAAAAAAGGCCAGTACATTTAAAAAGGGGAGTGATGTTTGTTAGAACCTCTTTAAAGTCCTTCCTCCTGTTTTCGTTTTTTGTTTGTAAAGGTATTTAACAATCCCCAAGGGTCTGCTTTCTTTGCTTTGACCTAGATTCCCACTGAAAACTTCCCAGCAGTGCTAACAGGCAAGTTCTTTTTCATACCACTTCCAGATTCGTCCTTGCACAAATAAGGAGATTTCCTAGTGGAGGCTTATAAACGAGCTATGGGAAAAGAGTACAATTTGGCTCAACAAGTCATCTGGAGACAAGTGACGTAAGGAGAAATGATCTTACCACAAATAATACATTCAGGAAATAGAAACGCTCACTCTTTCTCTGGTTAATAAACCACTGAGTCTTTTCAGATGCTCCTTCCCTGAGTTTGTAATTATCCCTCTCATTCAGCTGTGATGGAACTTGGTGTCATTTCCAACTCTGTTGCCTCAGTAGGCAACTTTGTGGGTTCTGGCATTTGACGACCCAGTTGCAAATTTTGGCTAACATTTACTACGTGGGTGATATTTAAACACTGCTTACCCCCACTTACTTGCAGTTTTCTTAACCATCCCTGTCTAGGGTGGTAGTGTAGAATAAGTGAGAAAATATAAGAAAAACACTTAGCATGTGCCTGGCAAGATAGTAGGGACTTGTATTAAAAAGATCCCTAAATACGTATTTTCTAACTTATTGGAATAACCTTTTGCTTCCCCTTCTCTTTCTTCTCTCTCTCTCTCTCTCTTTTTTTTTTGAGAGGTTTTTTTGCAATAGGGCGTGCGTGCTTCCCAGACAGACAGAGCGAGACATAGAGACAGAAAGCGATTTTTTTTTGATGGTCACGCCGCAATCCCTTCTCCTCCATTCTCCTCTCGGGATCTTGGGCATGCACGCACACGTGCCCGGCGTGAGTTTTAAGCCACTGGGTCTGGGATGCGAACTGCAGTTGACTATGTGGGAGTCCAGCGACATAGCCATTACGCTAACTGCTGGTTCCCTCTCTTTCTTCTCTTGACAAGTTATCTATTGTGGTTTGGCTAGAAATGGTATAGAGCTTTCATGAAACAGTATGTAAAAGATTAAAAAACAGGAGGCCAGCAGGTGGCGTGGTGGTGAAGGCGCTGGACTCTCACATGGCTGACTGTGGTTAGAGTCCTGGACCTGGTGGTTTGCTTTTTCACTTTTCCTCTCTTTCTCTCAGTCTCTATCCCTCTTTTTCTCTGTCAAGTGCATGTGCCTTGTAGCAAATTAAACAAATAACAATAATGATAAACAAAATGAAATAATTCTTAAAAAAAAAAGATTAAAAAATAATTTCAAGTGAAAAATGAGTAACCAAACCACTCTACACCCTCTCTCTTGCCAAGGTGAAAAAAACACCACTTTCAATGCAATTAGTTCTGGTTGCACCTGTCTGGGGGTTGTCCAATAGTCAATGAGAACTCTAGAATTTCTGTGTAGGAGAGGGATGGTTCAGGAAACCTGGAAGCAAACAGGAACTAGGAACTGGTCCCGAAGCTGCAACTGCAGAGTGGGCACAAGGCTGATAATATTTTGGATGGTTTTGGGGGAGGTACCAGTTGAGGACATAGGGAGGCTGACCACCCCCCATCCAGGAACTTCTCAGTGTCACCCTGCGTCACCCTCTCATCAAGGCAGTGGTGGCTGTTCTTTTTATTGTTGTTGTCTTCATTAAAGGAACTGAATATATCAGTTTAACCTGACCTAACAAATGTTAGGGACGTTTGTCTCCATTTCCCTAACGAATGTTAGGAGAAGTTTATTTTTTTGACCTCGGTCAAGCAAATGTAGTTAAGTCAGTAGGACATTCAAAATTGGCAGCGATTATACTAAAATAAATCATCTTATGAGGGAAAACAACATTATACACATGTCTGTAGACTGTCTTTTTTTTTTTTTTTTTTTAAAGTTTTTTTGTCTGTATTTTAAAGTTTATTGCTGTAGGGTGCATGTGCTTGCTGGAGAGAGACAGAGAGAGAAAGTGAGAAATCACTCCCTAGGGGGTATAGCCGTATCACATACATGCACACATGTCTGGAGTGATTTTCAAGCCACTGGATCTGGGACTCTAGCTGCAGTCAGCCATGTAGGAATTCAGTCCCTTAACTACCATGCCACCTGCTAGCTCCTGTGGACTGTCATTTTAAACTTAGATTTGTAGCGTATCTCCTGGCTCAGAGAGATAACAGTATCTATGGTTCAGGGTCTGGGTCCTTGGCCAGAGGCCCCTGAGGCCACACCCGGAGCAGGAGGGGAAAGCCAAGGAGCCCTCCCTCTGCTGCATACTCACCCTGTCTGTGACTGTTGCTATAATCAGGGCATTTGGCACCAGGAGAGCAGTTTTGGTTTTCTTTATGAGAGTTACCGAGAAAGCCGGAATAGAGATCTGAAACAGAGTCACCAAGTTAACATTGGCTTAGCCTTCACAGAACAGCACTTCAATCTTCACATTCAAGGGGAAATAAAAGATAAAGAAACTAAAACCAGCTGGATGCTCTCCAGCCTCCAGGAAGAAAAGTGAATCTTTTCTTTTTTTATTTTTTAAATAATTATTTATTTAATTTGATTTATTCATTCATTTACTTTAATTTGACCAGAGAGAGATACACAGAGAAAGAGAGGGAAAGTGCGAAAGCAAGCTTCCAGGTCTGGTATTCGAATTGTGGTCGGCCATGTGGGAGTGTCCAGTGCCTTAACCACCACACCACCTGTTGGTCCCAAGAAAAGTGAATCTTAAAGAATGGCAAGGAACATGTCACTGAGTCCCTCGAATTGTGCAGGTCTTGATGGGAAGCCTTTATCTTCAGAACAGGGAAGAGAATGCAAATTTTGCATAAATTCTCAAGATAAGCCCGAGGCTCTAAAGAAGTCCAAGCTTCTGATCATCCACTCTGAGCTAATCTCCACATGCCTCTGTCTTTAGGTGCACATGTGTAGGGTGAATATTAAACAGCACTGGTGTAGGAGAACCATCAGTGGACAGAAAGCCGGGGACTTGAATTCTCAGCTCAGTTCCGGTACTCTCTACATGACCTCTATGCTGTCCATTCTAGGTGTCAGTTTCCTGATTTAAAAATTGGAGATAGTCTTGTCTGCTTCCCCAGATGTTCAGGGGCCTACATGAGATGGGATATGGAAAACACTCGGTGCTGAATAATAATTTCATTCATTTCTTCACTTGTCTCCTAAAATCAAGATGGGTGAAATGGAAGAACTTTTAAGTTCTTTTCCAGTTTCAATAATAAATAATAATAACAGTAGAAGCTACCATTATTAATACTTACCAGATGAGAATGTCATTTAATTACGATGAGTCTATAAAATGAGTGTATAAATGATATGAAATTGAGAAATTCATTTAGAGACCTATATGACGTGCACAGGATAATACATAAAGAAAGTGACAAAGACGGAATGTGAACCAATCCGATCCAAAATGCAGGTTCCTTCCGATGCTATGTAAATGTGCCAGGTGGTACAAAGGATCTAAATTGTTGATACTTTGTGTTACATCCCTCTAATTGGGGTTAGTCTCAAAGGAAAACAGATCACATCATTTTGATCCCTACAACTAGAGTCAGACACAGTCTAAGAACATGTCTACGTCTAAAAAGGAAATGATCTGACTCCCTCCCACTGGGGCTTGGTCAGGTTGCAATCCCTCCTCCTCCATTTCTCTATCTTACCAGGATGGAGGCATGCACACACACATGCTTGGCATGTTTTCAAAGCCACTGGGGCTAGGAATTGAACTGTAGTAACTGACTATGTGCTACCTGGCTCCCTGTGCAATAGCACTTAACCACTGTGCTAAGGAGCTGGTCCCAAATTGTACATAAAACAAAAATTTTGTCAAAGAATGCTATCGACAAAATTTTCAAGGTTGGGTGATAAACAGGAAGATGGCATACTTCAGGAAAAAAAAAATTTTATAATCTGCTAAGGCTCCAAACTCTTTGGTGCAGTTGGTAATAAAAATGAACTGCAGTGCTGGAAGCTACGTGGCCAACCATGGGTTCAGATTCCAGGCCTGGTGGACCTGAAACGCTCTGGGTGCAGATGGACCTCAAGTTCTGATGAGCCAGAGGGCTGGAGGAAGTGGACAGTGGCGTGACCAGACCCTGCTGAGGGTGTTTCTCTGCTTACTTGCTCTCTCTCATGTGCTTGCACTATTATAAGTAAAATAATGAAAAATAAGATCTACTAAGACAGATGATATTAAGAAAAGTCTAATTTTGTTTCTGATTAACAACACAATGACCAAGGACTATAAATTTAGATTTTTCATATCTAAGGCAGAGAACACCCATAAGAAGGCGTTTCTAATCAATTGCTTCTTAAGTATAAAATTACAATTAGATAGCATTTGTGAAATAAAGCTGAAGTCACTTTTCCATTTGAGCCTTGATGGAATGTGATACATATATTTGTTAACATCTGAAAATATTGACAGGCTGATGTAAAGGTTCTGATTCAATTAAGGATACATGATATTAGTATTTTTCCAGGGTAGGGTGCTTAGAAAGTTCTCTTTCTTAAAGCAAAATTGTTTGGGTGCTTTTTGTTCCTACTGGATCATGTTGGACTGAGGTTTCTGGCAGTGAGGAAATTCTGCAACAACTCTGAAGCTTAAATCTCAAGACTATCCGTTGGGAGAAAGAAACATACAAGTCCCTGTCATAGTTCTCTCTCTTTTTAAAAATTATCTATTTATTTAATTTAATTTATTATTATTATTTTAAAGTTTGCTATAGAGCCCATGTGCTCATCTGATTTATCACAGAGAGAGAGAAGGGGAAAGTGAGAAAGCAAGCCACCAGGTTCAGGATTTGAACTGCAGTTGGCTATGTGGGTGTCCAGTGCCCCAACCACTACACCACCTACTGGTCCGCCTGTCATGGTTCTTATAACCACTGCTTGATTAATCGTAAGCCTCTGCCTCTGCAGGATAGACATAGCACCTACAAAAGCAAAACCAAAAGGTCCATGTCCTTAAGAAGCCAGGGGCACTGCTTTCTGCTTTTTTTGGTTAGTTTTCTTCAGCAGAAATAGGGTTTTAAAAAAAGTGCTAGAATCATATTAGCTTGAAACTGTACTTCTTGCCTTTGTGACTTCTCTCTCTCTTTTTTTTTTTGGAGAGTTTTTTTTGCTATAGGCCGCGTGCGCTTGCCAGACAGACAGAGAGAGACATAGAGACAGAAAGCAAGAAATCAACCCACAATCCCTTCTCCTCCATTCTCCTCTCGGGATCTTGGGCACATACGCACACATGGCTGAGGTGAGTTTTAAGCCACCAGGTCCGGGATGCGAACCGTGGTCGAATACGTGGGAGTCCAGAGACATAGCCATTACGCTAACTGCTGGTTCCCTGACTTCTATCTCTTAACAAAGACTAATTCTTTGTTAACTAATGTCTCTGGCCTCTGCAGCTTTGCTCAGAGATGGTGGCTTTCTCTGAATTCCTGAGAATTCTTTATCATACTGGTCAGTACTAGCCAATCCCTTTCCCTTCTCTACGAACCAGTTCTTAAATCTGCAAATCTGATGGGTTAATATTGCTTTGCATTATATAGGTTCTGATAATACTCTACATCGAGATTCATGTATCTAAACATAACTCTACTCTTTTTTGGTTGTTGTTAAGTTTTTGTTATAGGGCAGTGTGCTCACTGGAGAAAGAGAGAGAGAGAGAGAGAGAGAGAGATGAGAAATCACCTCCCAGGCAGGATGGCCATGCTGTAATCCCTTCTCCTCCATTCTCCTCTTGGGATTTTGGGCACACATGCATGTGCATGTGCCTGGTGTGATTTTTGAGGTGGCTGGGTCTGGGACTTGAGCCACACAGCTGGCCATGTGGGACTCAGCTTCCTTAACTGCCACACAATCTGCTGGACCTCAAAATAATATGCTTTATCTATAACATGTTAGTCTGTAGACCCATCATCAATAAAATAATAAATATAGTGAAACCCTTTTTTTTTTCCAAGTTAATTTCTCTCATGATAGTGAGACAGGGAGAGGAACACAAGTGCCCTTGATAGGGTCTTCTGACCAGCCAGAATCGTGGGTGAGTGGCGGTCGTACACAAGTAGATTAGAGAACCCAACTCAAGATCCTCCATATGGACCCCGCTTTTCTTGAGCAGGACATTACCGCTGCACCACCGAGCCGGCCCGGTTCAATAGTCTCTCGGTAATTGCCAGTGCCTTGAGGGGGAATACTTAACTAAAGCATATTTATCACGTAACACGAAAGAGTTTTTTTTCCTTAGAATTATGTTTTTAATTTAATTTTTATTTTTAAATTTTTTTTATTATTATTTTTTAAAAATTTGACCGGAGAGAGAGTGAGAGAGAGAAAGAGGGAGGAAAAGGCAAAGTGAGAAAGCAAGCTGCCAGGTCCAGGACTCAAACCACGGTTGACTTTGTGAGAGGCCAGCAACTCAATCACCATATCACTTGCTGGCTCCACAAAAAGAGGTTTTTTTTTGAGAGAGATTTTTGCTATAGGGCATGTGTGCTGACCAGAGACAGA